AATAATCTATAAGAAATGTTACATCACCTCATCCGTGACCCTTAAAAATCGAACAACTTCTCAAATTAAAGTGTGCGACGAAAGGGGGGGGGGGCTTTTTGCAAAACAACCTCCTTTTTTCGCCAAAAATTTCTTCTGCAAAATGATCATTTCATTCCGAAGAGGACTTAAGTCAGGGGGACTAGGGTTCAGTGTCAGAGAAATAAGGGGGGTATATTTCCCACACCTTTTCTCATTTTCTACTTCATGAAAAGAGCATGATATTGTTCCTCTCCCCTATCTGATTAAAATGGCAAATTCATTTATGTATTCATGGTATTTGTTCTCTCCTGTTTCAATTGATAAAACGTTCATTTAATGCATATTTTTTCACAGAATGGATCACCATCGAAGCAAAAACTTCTATGAGATTACAGGTCCTGGTTACCTTCCTGACACATTCCAACGCTTTTTCAGAATGAACAGGAATTTTTTCCAACTGTTACTTGAACACGTTGCAGCCTGTGATGAATTGCAAGCAAGGCAGTATAAAGGTGGACGCCAAGAGGTGACTTGCGAGAAAGCCCTCTTGATGGTTTTACACTATTTGGCATCTCAGGAAACACAATTTGAAATATGTGATAGATTTGATGTTACTGAATTTACATTGCTAAAATACAGATCTTTGGTGATAAGTGCTATAAACAGAACTTTATAAAGCAAATTCATTTCATGGCCTAGTGTGAATCAGTACAATGAGATTGCAAGAGAATTCAACTTTCTTGCTGGACGTGGATTTCCAAATATAATTGGTGCTTTTGATGGCACACATATACGTATTGATCCTCCTACTGAAAACCCAAATGCTTACTACAACAGGAAAAAGTTCCATTCCATCATTTTGCAAGCTGTTTGTAAACACGATTTGATGTTTACGAGCATATATATGGGCTGGCCTGGTAGAGTTCATGACAAAAAAGTATTACGACATTCAAACTTATGGGAAACTGGTGATTAAAAGTGTCAGTTCGGAAACTTTCACATACTCGGGGATGGTGCTTATCCTTTACAACGTTGGTTGTTAACCCGTTTCGAGATACCGGACACCTTACTCAAGAGGAAATGAGGTACAACAAAATTTCTTCTTTGAAAAGATAAGTAATAGAATGAGCCTTTGGATTACTTAAAGGAAGATTCCAACGACTGAAACACATAAGCATGAAAATTGTGCATGACATATGTGATCTCATCATGGCTACTTGTATTCTTCATAACATTTGCATAATGAATGGAGAAGAATTTCAGGACTTTTTAGAAGCAGGTAACAACCAAATTCAGAATCAGTTACAGGCTCTTAATCTTCCTCAGAACAATATTCCAGCACAGCACAAGAGGAGATTGTTAACACAACAATTGTGAATTCTACTGCAATAAAAAAATATCTGTAACTTAATAAATTCTGTTTTATTTTGAACACCATTAAAAATAAATAACAAAGTACAAAATAAAATACAAAAATTGACTAGACACAAATGATGCTATCTGCATCTGAAGAAAACATAATTAGATGAACAAGATGTCTTTGTGAAACACTGATGCCCCGTATAGCAGCTTATGGCGAAGGTTAAAGTTTCTAAAATGCAAGTCAAACTCCAGGTCAAAAGTTTGAAAAATGTTGTTACCCCTAAAAGGTATTGTCTTGAGGAATATACCTGTGAAATATGAAAGCCCTAACACCAACCGTTGAAAAATTATGGCAAAGGTTAAATTTTTTCAAAAGTGCAACATCAGGGTTAAGGTCAAATGGTGCCCAAGGGAAGGTCTTGTCACAAGTGATACACATATGAAATATGATACATGTACCAATAGATCCAACCAATAAACAAGAGGCCCAAGGGCCTTGAATCGCTCTTCTGATAAACTGTTCAACCTATCATTTCTATTTGAAGCCTCTAAGTATCCTGTATATTTAGATAAACCCTTGAAATTCCAATTCACACTCTGAGAACCCAAGATGATTCTAAGCCAATTAGTACCTGAGAGTTGGTCATGGTGACCTACTTATCACTTGTCATTCTCTGAGGACCCATCAACTACGTTTGATGATTCTAAGCCAATCAATACCTAAAATATTTTTTAAAATTATAACCATAAATTTTATAAGTAGGTCAAGGTGACCTACTTTTCAGTTGTTATACTCCGAAGACCCAAGATACATCGACTGACAAAGTCTGATGATTCTAAGCCAATTAGTACCCAAATATTTAATTAAAGCCATAAATTTTCAAAAGTAGGTCACAGTGACCTACTTTTCAGTCAACCTACTCCAAGGACCCAAGATACATCAACTGTCAAAGTTTGATGATTCTATGCCAATAAGTACCCAAAATATTAAATTAAAGCCAAAAATTTTCAAAAGTAGGTCACGGTGACCTACTTTTCAGTTGTTGTACTCTGAAGACTCAAGATGCATCAACTGACAAAGTTTGATGATTCTAAGTCTATTAGTACTTGAAATATTTAATTAAAGCAATAAATTTTCAAAAGTAGGTCACCGTGACCTACTTTTTAGTCGACCTACTCCGAAGACCCAAGATGCATCAACTGACAAAGTTTGAAGAATCTAAGCCAATTAGTACCCGAAATATTTAATTAAAGCCATAAATTTTCAAAAGTAATTCACAGTGACCTACTTTTCATTTGTCCTACTCCAAAGATCCAAGATGCATCAACTGACAAAGTTTGATGATTCTAAGCCAATTGCCACCATAAAATTAATATATTTTTACCCGAATATAACCTTTCTGCAGTATCAGGGAGATATATACAAATAACTGCTACTTGACAAAAAATTGGCCTAACGTTAATAGCATTAAAAATCGCTCATTTCACCCGAGTCACTGGGCAATAATTATGATAATGTGCTACCTAGGTGATTTTAATACTTGTTCATCAAATGTCGTTGTAGGGTACTTATAACTGTTCTGCATAGTTTATAAAATTGGATTAAAAAAATCACTCGCACTGCTTTTCCTTCCTTAGAAGCCATGTTTGAGCCGTTTGGCCCTATCAAATTTTTCCTGCTCAAGCGGCTCACCCGGCTTGATGCGTGCGCAATACCGGCTCAGAATCAAGTGTGTCGCCGGTCATCGCCGGTTTACCCGAGCGCGCCGGATGGTCAGAATCAAGTATGCTATTGAATTGAGAGTAATGTAATGAAACTTTCACACAAGTTTTATCTTTTCTTGCCCAGTGGTTCTTGAGAAGAAGATTTTTAAAGGATGCCACCAAATTTCACAAATTCTTAATTATCTCCCCTTGGAAGAGGGTGTGGCACTTCCTGTGAACAAATTTAAATCCCCTTTGCCCAAGGATGCTTTGTGGCAAGTTTGTTTGAAATTAGCCCAGTAGTTCTTGAAAAGAAGTCGAAAATACCGAAAGTTTACAGTCGACAGACAGACACCGGACACTCTTTGATCAGAATAGCTCAGGTGAGCTAAAAATGAACATATCTGCTATAAAATAAGAATGTTTTAATAAAATATCATTCTTATGATTTGGGGACATAGTTGCTCTTGTCTAACTGTTCTTTTTTTTTTTTATAATTCAAATGCCTTCTTAATATTGAATTCAAATGCTATCTAACAAATGTGTATATTTATTTTGTAAGACATTTGAATTCACATGAAATATTTTTAAAAATGCATTAAAATACCTGAAAGACTGTTGCTTCTCTGTTTTCCATTGGGACTGAATACATTCTCTCTGTATTTCAGCTAATATGTCGTCCAACTTGTTGCACCTTGAACAACCAGCCTCATGTTCATGGTCACATACCATACTGTAAGAATGGTCTTGGTCACTTACAGCAAACAGCCGACAGTGATCAGCCACTTCAGAACTCTTTTCAATATGATCCTACAATGGTTTACATCACAATCTCACTTTCACTGCAATTCTTAAAAAATCACAGTCCAATGATCCTGCATTACCCAAAAAATTTATTAATACGTTGAAAATTTTACAGTTTAATATTTGATATCTGATGATATATCTTTTACATAATGGCAAAGTAAAATGTGTTTTTCAGTGTGATTGAACTTACAGCTAAAATCCTTCAATTACCTTATAGTCAGATTTTAGGTACTATTTTCCATCAACAAGAGTAGACATCTTATCCTTTGCCTTGACTTGTGAAATACTCAATTGCCCTATGATCTCATCCAGAGTTTGAAATCCTCTGCTTGCCTCCGCAACAAAGTAGTCAATCCCCTCCATGCTCTTCCTAATTGATGCAGAACACTCATTCAAAATCTTGAACAAAGTGCTTATTCCTGCCATATATATATATATATATATATATATATATATATATATATATATATATATATATATATATATATATATATATATATATATATATATATATATATATAGCTCTACTCTTCCCAAATTAGAAGGCTAATTGTTGGACTTCTTGTAATTTTATGGGATTTACAATCCAAGGTGCATAATACAAATAGACTGACGGATTGATACAAAGTTGCTACCTTCAGTTAATGACTATTACTTGTACAGAAAGCTAGATGGGTTGTTACTTATTATTTGTACATATTTTTCCAAGTACAGTTTATGTATTAAAGTACAAACAAATTGTAGCTGTGAAACACTGATGCACCCATATGGCAGCTCATGGCCATGAAAAAGTTTTTTAATTGTAGGTCAAATATCACGGTCAAGAGTTCAGAAATGTTGGTAACTAAAGAAAGGTCTTATTAGAAGGAATACACATATGAAATATAATACCCCATAACACCAACCATTCAAAAGATATGGGCAAGGTAAAGTTTTGAAAAGTAGTTTCTTCAAGGTCAAGGTCAAAAGGTCTAAAATGTTGGGAATATACAGAGAAATATGAAAGCCATGGCATCAACCATTCAAAATGTTATGCCCAGCAAGGTTAAAGTTTTTGCAGACAGACAGATAAACAGAGCAAAAACTATATGCCCCCGAATTTTGGATTATGGGAGCATAAAAAACTTTCCTTTTAAATATAGCTGTGAAATTTTATCAAAATAATTCATACCTAGGGGATGAAACTCCTCTGATTCGCATAAATGTTGGTACTGGCCTATTAGAGATGATGGGCCCATGCATCTCACAACATTTGGGATGTGAATTACTTCACCATTAGAGAGTTTCAAATTCTTTTCACCAAATGTAATATCTTTCAAGATATTTGAAGATGTAATAAAATCAAGAAAATATTCCAACTGTTCCATGTTGACTTTATTTCTCTGTATTTTATTTGTCAAAACAGGAACTCCACAGCCTTGTTCATTAGAGTGTTTCTTTGCTGCATAATACCGCCAACTGGTCAAACCTGGTATCAGCTGAAATAAAAAAACCAGTAATTAAATAGTTTTAAAAATGTGTAAGTAAAAACAATGGTAACATCACTGAAAAGAAGCTTCCTATACATTTCAAAATCAAAAGAATTTAATTATTAATTGTTTATTACATTGAATTGATAATTCTTTGACAAACAACAAGTATTAAACAAATCGACTGCTAGTCCATTAGTGAGCATATCTAAATTTATATTTCTTTGATGAAAGAGAATAACAGATCGAATATAATATGTTACATGGCATCAAATTTAATTTTGAAATACTAGAATAAAATACATAATAATTAAAATTTTGATAATCAGTGAAAACATACACCTGGCTGATTACATCAAAATTGTAGTCCTGGGCAAGTATAGAAAGAATTTGCCTTCTAAAAGTCCAGGTCTCTGTGGACGTGTATATCTCAGCCAACCACAGTGCAGTATTTTCTGTGTGAGACTGTAATTTCTCTTCTAAGGTTGAGACATACATATCATGGAGGATATCACCCTCGCCTGGACAAAAAGTATCACAAAGGTCTCTTACACAATCTTTCAATTTTGATGTATATCTTCTTTGTGTGCATCCACTGCTACTTGCCAATGATGACTGAATTTGTTTCACAGGACTTCTGTTGAAGGACTGCAAAAGTTGATTAAAAAGATTTAATCTATCAAGATTGCAAACAGAGGACTGTGAGCAATCTGACTGCTGACTGAAATTGTTTGGCTGGAGAAGATACTGCCTGCATATTCACTGGATTGTTCAAAACATGGTCTTCCACAATCCTGAAACATTAAAAATTAGAAAATTAAACAAAAACAAGAGGCCCAAGGGCCTTAACGGTCACCTGAGTACAATACAACAATTTAGAGGATCCATAGAGTATTAAAATGAAATGAAAGGTGAAGCTTTGTTGCCCAAAAGCAAGAAAAATAGGGTGACCAGGATCAACAAAATAATTAGTCTACTATTCATTAACAGTTCATAAATTAGGTTCTAATCTGTTCCCCAATTATCACTATCACCATACAGTATATTACCAAACTATCAGTGCTTTTGTACTATTTTAATTCCTTGTTGTAATCTCTTACATTGGCCTCTCTTGGTCTTTGATGAACATTTAATAAGACAGGTTATTTTTGTCTCATTTTTATTTATCTATTACTTACAAGTCCACATGATCATTAAAACTATGAAAATACTTTTTGTATTATACAATAAAAATTCTTGCATAATTCTCTTATTCTATTAATTTTTCATGTACATTATTTACAATGATTAATTATCAAAAGTAAACGGCAAAGGCGAATAACTCCTCTCAGTAGAATGCAAATTAATTGAGCCCTGGCTAGGACAAGAACACTTGACCAAATAGTCCAGATGTTCAAAAATCTGGTAAAAATACCCTTCCTTATTACAACTTTTACACTTTTTGCGTCTGATATGCCCAAGTGCAGAGAAGATTTTTAAAGAAATAATGCATTTTCACTACAGATTCACTATATTATCAATAGAGCCCCTCCCCCCCCCCCCCCCCCTTCACCACCGAGAAACACCAGAGCCTCTCACCCTGGGACCAGAAGTTTCAAGTTTGCTCATCATAAGTAATCACTTTGTTTAACTGCTTAACATTAAGGAGCAGACAGGATCATTTAATAGAATTAATGCATTTTCACTACATTATCAACAGCCCCACCCTTATACCAGCACATCTGACCCAGGGGTCATGCAATTCACTACTCTGGAAGAAGCACTCTTGCTCATCATAACTATATACTTAGCTTCTTTGTTTTTTAACCAGAAGCAGAAAAGAATATTTTCAAAGAAATTTTGATTTTTCACTATATAATCAATAGAGCCCCCCCCCCCCCCCCCCCTTTGACAAGGATCCTTGACCCTGGGGCCATGAGATTCACAATTTTAGAAGAGGCATCCTTGCATATCATAACAATGTACTTAGTTTGTTTAAATAGTACCCAGGGGCAGAGAAGAAGATTTTCAAAGAAATAATTCACCTTCACTGTAGGAGCTATATAGCCCCACCCTAGCACAAGAACCCCTGTACCTGGGGCCATGAATTTCACAATTTTGGAAGAGGTGTCCTTGCTTATCATAATAATGTACTTAGTTTGTTTAAATAATACCCAGAAGCAGAGAAGAAGATTTTTAAAGCATTAATGCATTTTCACTATATAATAAATAGAGCCCCGCCCTTACATCAGAACCCCTGACCCAGGGGCCATGAAATTCACAATTTTGGTAGAGTTACTCTTGCTTATCATAACTATGTATTTAATTTGTTTAAATAATACCCAGGAGTAGAGAAGAAGATTTTCAAAGAAATAATGCACTTTCACTATATGATTTATATAGCCCCCCCCCCCCCCCCAGCACCAGAACCCCTTACCCTGGGGCTATGAATTTCACAATTTTGGTAGAGTCACTCTTGCTTATCATAACTTTGTATTTAATTTGTTTCAATAATACCAAGGAGTAGAGAAGAAGATTTTCAAAGAAATAATGCACTTTCACTATATGATCTATATACCCCCCCCCCCCCCCAGCACCAGAACCCTTGACCCTGGGGCCATGAATTTCACAATTTTGGTAGAGTCACCCTTGCTGATCATAACTCTGTATCTAATTTGTTTAAATAATACCCAGGAGTAGAGAAGAAGATTTTCAAAGAAATAATGCACATTCACTATATGATCTATATAGCCCCGCCCTAGAACCAGAACCCCTGACCCTGGGGCCATGAATTTCACAATTTTGGTAGAGTCACCCTTGCTTATCATAACTATGTATTCAATTTGTTTCAATAATACCAAGGAGTAGAGAAGAAGATTTTCAAAGAAATAATGCACTTTCACTATATGATCTATATAGCCCCGCCCTAGCACCAGAACCCCTGACCCTGGGGCCATGAATTTCACAACTTTGGTAGAGGGCTCAATGCTTATTACAATCATGTCAACAGTTTGACTGCTTGATGTCCAGGAGTAAAGAAGAAGATTTTTAAAGATTGCATTAATTTTGATGGTTTTAGCCCCACCCCTCAGGCCCCAGGGGGGCAGGGACCATGAAATTCACAAATTTTGTTCCCCTTCACACATAGATGCCATATGCAAAAATTGGCTGAAATTGGTTTAGCGGTTTCAGAGAAGAAGCTGAAAATGTTCAAATGTTAACACACGACGCACGACGGACGACGGACGACGACGGACGAAAACGGATAGCAATAGGTCACCTGAGTGACTCAGGTGACCTAAAAAATCAAAATAATTTATTTTTATGAAATTATTTAAATAATTTATGTATTTACTAAAATTTGCAATTTGGAAGAAAATAATTGAAAGATTTAAGACCAGATAGAAAATAAGGATTAGGTTGGGTTGGTTCATATAAAATATAATATTCCAGTCAAGTCTTCAACACTGATTATGAAATAAATTACAATCTTACTGAGGTACAATATTTTGGTATGTGATTTTTGAAAAATATTCATAATCAGGAGTTCAAAAATACAGCGGTTCAAGGTCCAAAACCTAAAGTTTACATGTTAAACTAGTTAATTATCACCACAAATAGTCTGTTGGATCTGAAGTATTAAACAGAAAAATATTTGGAAAACATGAAAAGTTTTCAAAAAATTTAGAAGTAAGTAAGGCTAGGTTTTTTTTTTAAACAGCTGGTTCTCAATACACATTTTGAGTACAACTACTGTATACAGGGAAATTTTTGCCCTCGTTTTATTTCCGCCCCTTTCACCCTAATCACAGTTGGGTGAATTTAAAACGAAATGAATTTAGAGAACACAGTATAATTTCTTAAACATAATGGTGACTGAGTGAATTCAAAACGGGGCAAAATTGTTTGCAAGTGTGAAAGGGTGAAAATGAAACAGGGCGAAAATAACCCTGTATACAGTAACTATACTACATGTCACATTAAAAAAAAAAATTATATCTTCAAATGTTTCAATTGATTTTCTACATACCAATTAACTATTGATACTTAATAGTCCTTGGACCTGACAGTGAAATTTGATGGAAAATTTAAACACCTAAAATGTACTTGTACTTCAAAAATATACAGTTTTCTGTAGTTTCTTGAAATGTAAACATCTACAGGTATATATACATCTACTACAAGACTGACTATGTCAAAATCATGATTATCAAAAAATATTTAGAGAATGCATTGTAGCAAATACTAAGGAATAATTATAATAATTTTATTTTTCAAATTCAGATAAAAATTTTATGCTGACATTTTGTGCAATTTGAAACTTCACCTTCCTCTCTTGATTAACATTTTCTGTTAATTTTCCTCACACTCTTCATCAATAGGTGTTTTTAAACTGGGAACCTAAAATGGGTAAAAAAAAATTATTTATATATAAATTTCAAATAAATATCATTTAAATTTGCAATCTAGTCTAGCTATTGTAGTAAGCACACATTAAGTCTGGTTAAATCTATAGGCCCTACACATATACATGTATGTTTTATGGTGATCTGTTGATTTAACTTCTCAATTTTATGCACATTTTCCTTAATAACTTACATCTTCCTCGGTTTTAGTCTGTGACATCTCCACTTGGTTATTGTTTGGTAATGTCAACTATTTTCTACAGCAGTACAAATTCCTACAATTGTACATATAAATGTAGTATATTGTTCAGCACTGACTACAATGCGTTAAAAAATTATAAGGAGAGCCCAAGTCTTTTTTTGAAAACATTATAAATAACAGTAATATTTTCATAAAATATTGTGATACTTTGTTTGATACTATTAAATTATTATTTTATTTATTTATATAATTTTTTGTGGTCAAAATGTAATATTGACTTAATTGGATGAAATTTGAAATTCAATACCTGTGCCTAAGGGTAAGACTATCCCAGTGCACTGCCTTATCTTCTCCTGCAACTGTCTATTGATTATTCTTTCATGTTTTCGCTTCTTTTCGTGGGTTCTTAAAATTGGTGGGATCCCGCATAATGGAGACATAAATTGTGATTTGTGATTTTTTTTTTAACTTTTGAATGGTGAGCTTGACAGATGAAAAAAATTCAGTTGCAGGTTCGATTTCTGACAAAACTGTGTCTCTCTCATCTTCATCTACTAATTTTAGACACACTCTATTCCCACTGCAACTGATATCAGTATATACATAGCTAAAATTACAAGGGATTTCCATTTCATCGTATGTTTGTGTTTTCTGACGTCTGCTCTCCCATGTTGTTTTGACACCTTTTTTGGACTTCAATGCAGAAGAGTCAGGAAAGGGAAATAACTCCAGGTTAATATTTAGGACAATTTGATGAGTTGATATTATTGATTTATGACATTTAAGAGATTTCCCCAAATCAATTCTATCTGAATTTATTAATCCTAAGTTTCAACTTTTTAAAAAGATTTCTACCCTAACTTTTAATTGCCTGCTTAAAAAGATATGCATATAATGTAATGTGCAATTTCGCATTCATTTTTTTTGACTCACGCCATGCAACACATCTTTACAGTACAAGCCATGAGTTAGATTAAATGAAATTAAGAGCAAAGGTACTTTGATTATTTGGCTATAGAATGGAACCCATCTCATTTTAAAATATTTCCTAGATTTTTTGAGCATGCCATTACTTTATATGATGATACACTGAAGTCATTTTGGCCTTAAGTAAAATATTA